TTAATTCATCAGTGTCCTTGGTAACGATGAAGCAGTCATCGACGTATCTGCAGTACAGTGCGGGGTGGTGGTCCTGCAGCACTGTGTTTTCTATGTGACACATGTAAAAATTGGCAAAAGTTACTCCAAGAGGAGAGCCACCAAAAAAACACCACTACATCTTTCAGCCATTGAAAAAGTTTTACAGGTATTTCAAAACTTGATCAGTATGGTTTGTTTTATATAAAAGACGGTTGTCTGTCTATTATGTAGAGATAGTTTTAGAACAAGATCAACATTTAGAGGGAAATGGTAGCTAATTTGTATGCATTTTCACAATCTGTAAATTACCCTCTGTATAATATGTTGTGTAGCTAGCTGTAGGACAACTATTGTAAGCAAACAGGTAATCACAGGATTATTCTGAATATTTTGTAAAGAAAATCTTAGTACTGATTACTTTTAACAAAAACTTGCTAATAATGTACAAACTAAGAATTTCAAAGAAAAATGAATTAATTAGCGAAAACAAGTAAATTTTCTCAAGTTTTATTTCTTACCAAGTAAATAAATAATTTTGAAATTTTGTGACCAACAGAGTCTGAATACACATAACTGAAAAGCATAAGTAATTGTCAACACCTTTCTGAAAACTATTAGCTATGATACATATATATTTTTCATTATATAAACATTATTTGTTCAAATTTCAAGTAACAAGTGCATTACTTACTGTTGACTGCAGACGATCTAGGTTTTTGTCATGCACATTGTCACTTCCTTTATAATTCTTTAGAGCATCATTTAAGCCACGTTGGAAGCCAGCATGGAGTTTTCCACGAAAAATGTAACCAGATATGGCTGCTCCTAACTCTAGCATGAACACCAGTACTAAGAAACATGAGAACTTAAAAAAAAATTGCACTTATTAAAAGGATATCAAGAATGGAACAATACTTTATACCAATACTTTCATAATTGAATTTGTTAATTTCAATTACTAATAACATTAAAACAAAGTGGCAAAAACATATTTATTAATAGTTCAATAAAATTAGTTGTATATTACATTAACATTCATTTGTAAATTAATTTGGAATAATAAATTTTGCTCTGCAGCTAATTGTTGATATATATATATATATGTCATTCCCAATTTTTTACTTCAATATTGTTTTTTCAATAAACAAGATGAATAAATATAAAAAAGGGGTCAAAGTGGATAGCATGTCATTTTTAATTCTTTGTTGTTCTCTGAATATGAAATTTACTAGATTTATAGCAGCTTGTACTACACAAAAGAGGTTTTGCTGATACAAACATTTGATTCAAAGATTCAATTAAATGTTCAGGGATGCAGACACACGAACAGAAGCAAACGTATAAAGCACAACAGGCCTATATTTAATATTTTGATATATATACAAAAGTTCTTGACTTCAGAATTATTATGTAAATAACAAAAGTAATTTAAAATTTATAGTTAATTGTTTTGATGATTATTAGCATTTAAATTATGTAAACGTTAATGGCTTGTACTTCATTTGTTTCACAGTCTATGTTTAAAATGTTGGTATTAAAAAATTCAAATGTCACATCTGTTACACCATTTACACTTTTGGTATAATAAATTTATACAAAGAATGCCATAAAGTTTTGCTTTTACAATATATGTAATAAGATGAAAAGAAAATAGTTTGGCCAATGGTTAAGAGCTCAGTTGTAGACTTCATTAACTATCTAAAGCTCAATTGCAGTGTAGGTTGCAATTCTGTCATATGTGTTACAATGTATTTCCTCTAAAGTTTTCTCAAGCTGATAACTAAACTATAATAAAAATAATAGAATCAACTGCAAACAAACTTGTCCAACTAATCTAATGTTAATAAAAACTTTGTATCAGCTAGCCTTAAGAGTCTGCATTGAATAATAGCCTTCTAATTTCTTCACTGATATCTGTAGTATTTGTAAGGTTTGAATGCAATACAATAAAGGCAGACTGTAATGGCTGGAGATGGCTTGAATGGGTAATGAAGAAAAACTTTAATATAACAGCAAATGTACAACGTTTCGACAAGGTTTTGTCATCATCAGGTACAAGTAATTTACACTGACACATATATATATACATATATATATATATATATATACATATACAGTATTGAACAAAGAAGTCACATGACCAGATATTGTTGCAAAACTTAGAAGAGGTATCT